CTTGAGATGTTTGACCACTCAGCACCCAAAAATCATGAGTAGACTAAGCGTAACAATTTTTATTACAGAACATGTTTTATTAACTGATCATAATGATAGTACTACGAACATAACATAATGACGGTATCAGACAATAGTTTATGTTCAACACTTTAGTCTTACCATAATGACCTCAGCACCGATCGAAAGCATATCATTGAAAATGAAAATATTGAAACTTCACCAACCTCAAGTCAATGCGCGACTTGAATGAGACTGTCAATGGTTCATGAAGTGACGGTGATGTTACCAGAATGTTTATATTTCTTAATGTTGTACCAATACCTGTCAATTTCTGGAAGTCAATAATAGATACAGGTAATGCAATCATTTATTGATCATGATCAATTCTTCGTTAACACTTGTGATATGTTAATGTGCCCTACAAATTGCACAATTTAGCTGCGTCGCGAAGGGCGGCGACGTCGCACCCACAAAGACTGTCCGGGAATTATCGTCTTCTGATAATCAACTTAACTAAACATGACTTTGTTTCCAGATTTTATACTTCACAACAGCAGGTGTCAAGTGCTGTGTGGCAGCTGTAAAAAGGTGCCCCATACTTCAATTCAGGGTCGTTACATTTTTCTGGTCCTTCGGGATCATTGATTCCATCACTATTAAGTGTTGAGAATTGAGTACCGCTAAAGCTGGTGCTAGGGGGGCATGAGGGACGTTGTTGCCTCATGTACCGACTCAATCGGGCCTAGTCTGCAATTCTCTTGTAATTTTGTTTTGGTTAATGCTTCCGAGGGATCACGTTGTTTTCAGATTTTTATACTTCACAACAGCAGGTGTCAAGTGCTGTGTGGCAGCTGTAAAAAATTGCCCCGTACTTCACTTCAGGGTTGTTACATTTATTTGGTCCTTCGGGAACATTGATTCCAGCACTATAAAGTGTTGAGAATTGAGTACCTCTCAAGCCGGTGCTAGGGGGCGTGAGGGATGTTGCACGTATTCAGTATCCCTCATGTACACACTCAATGGGACCGAGTCTGCAATTCCCTTGTTATTTTGTTGTGGTTAATGCTTCCGAGGGATCACTTTGTTTCCAGATTTTTAACATGTTATTATATTTTTTAATGAAATTTTGCAAATCACTTGAATATGGAGCACGTTTGATGTCATCTTGTTATACTGTTATAAAGTTATAACGAATACTAGATAACTCGACTATTTGGAATGATCAAAAGACATAAATAATAGATCTATTGTAACAATAATCCTGGGCATCTGTTCTCCCAGATGTTTGCTTTGAATTAAAAAAAAATATGGTATCACACTAACTTTCTGGTCCCTGATATTCTGACAGCCATTCGATTATCATTTTCCATTTAATCTATTGATTACTTCTTATACTTGCGAAGAAAAGCCAATGAAATTCGGTGAACATCACAAAGACCTTCTTATAACTTGGACGTTTTATTCCATACTTATAACGCAATTAAAACTGACAGCTTATTTTAATGATTTATGTCCCATTACTTTATCATACGTTTCATTATCCCACCCGAATGTTCCAAAATATGTAAATCAAGGCTCATAAAGTTCTAAACGGGCAACTTGGCCTCAAGAGTGTTCACAAGGTTTTTCAAAGACTGTCTGTAGCTGTCGAAAGTAAGAGCCCACATGACCTGGATTCAAACTGAACATAGATTTTACGGAGACAACTTTTCCTGAAGTTTCCAAATATTAATGTGGACTCTAAAGTGTTCAAAGTTTTTTTTTTCTATAATTGGCCCTTGTGATCTAGTTTTTTTTACCCATATGACCGAGATGCTAACTTGACAAAGATTCTTTTTGACCATGTTTCATGAAGAAAGCTTAGTGTTCATAAGGTTTTTCTAATATTTGGCCTAGTGGCCAAGTTTTTGAGCCCACGTGACCAGTTTCGAATATGGCCTACATTTTTAAGAGACAAACATCTTACAAACTATTAAACATAAAAAGGTCGATATTTTTATCCATATTTTTACGCGCACGAGCGAAAATATTCATTCACTGGTTATATGTAGGCATTTTCATTGTGATTCAAACGTGTGTGTGTTAATGTAGTGATTCTCGTACTGTTTTTTGGATATGTGTATGTAGCGGATTGCATGGTAAAAAATGAATATATTTAAATACATTAATTTAGAAAAAAATAATACACCGTTCAATAAAGCAAAGCATTTCATACAATATTTCCAAACATGAAGTCTTTGGCACAACTAGAACTAGTGGTAGTGGGTTTGCGGGCAAAAATGAAGTGAATTCACTTCCCACAATATACACGTATGTGTGCGTGTGTGTGTGTGTATTTGTCTCTTTATTATTTGTTTAGGCACAAGTCCCCACAACAAATTCTAGTTAAGGGTCAAGTCACCAATCTGGCATAACTTTTCACAAATGAAACATTTAATCTCTGGCCGAATTCAAATCAAAGGTGATGAGGACCTCAGGATTCCAGTTTATAAATTACTACCTTTTCCACAAAGGCCCTTTATATCTTTAAACAAGAGGGCCATGATGGCCCTAGATCGCTCACCTGAATTATCAAACTCATCCAAACAATTACCTAGACAAGCATTCTGACCAAGTCTCATGACAGGTGAGTCAAAAATGTGACCACTACAGTGTTAACAAGGATTATCCATATTTGAGCAGTGCGACCTAGTTTTTTACCCAGGTGACACATATTCAAACTTGACCTAGAAATCATCAAAACAAACTTTCAGACCAATTTCCAGGATACTTGGATCAAAACAGTAGCAACTAGAGTGTTAACAAGATTTTTCTATTTTTAGCTCCGGTGACCTAGTTTCACATGCGATTTCGAACTCATCCAAGCAATTACCTAGACAAGCATTCTGACCAAGTTTGATGATAATGGAGTCGAAAATGTGACCACTAGAATGTTAACAAGGTTTTTTCCATATTTGGGCGGTGTGACCTAGTTTTTCATCCAAGATGACCCATGTTCGATCTTGACTTAGAAATCATCAAAAAAACTTTCAGACCAATTAACAGAATATTTGGATCACAAACAGTAGCCACTAGAGTGTTAACAAGATTTTTCTATTTTTAGCTCCTGTGACCTAGTTTTTCATCCGAGATGTCCCATGTTCGATTTATTCCCAGCAATGACCTAGACAAGTTTCCTGACCAGTTTGATGACAATTGAGTCAAAATTGTGACCACTAGAGTGTTAACAAGGTTTTTCTATTTTTAGCTCCTGTGACCTAGTTTTTCATCCGAGATGACCCATGTTCGAACTCATCCGAGTTATTACCTAGACAAGCATCTTGATCAAGTTTGATGATGATTGATGCAAAAATGTGACCGCTAAAGTGTTAACAAGGTTTTTCTATTTTTAGCTCCGGTGACCTACTTTTTCATCCGAGATGACCCATGTTCGAACTCATCCAAGCTATCAACTAGATAAGCATCCTGACCAAGTTTGATGATGATTGATGCAAAAATGTGACCGCTAGAGTGTTAACAAGGTTTTTCTATTTATAGCTCGGTGACCTAGTTTTTCATCCGAGATGACCCATATTCGAACTCATCCGAGCTATTATCTAAACAAGCATCCTGACAAGTTTGATGATGATTGGGTCAAAAATGTGACCACTAGAGTGGTCACAAGGTTTTTCTATTTTTAGCTCCTGTGACCTAGTTTTTCATCAGAGATGACCCATGTTCGAACTCATCCAAGCAATTGACTAGACAAGCATTCTGACCAAGTTTGATGATGATTGGTTCAAAAATGTGACCACTAGAGTGTTCACAAGGTTTTTCTATTTATAGCTCCTGTGACCTACTTTTTCATCCGAGATGACCCATGTTCGAACTCATCCGAGCTATTACCTAGACAAACATCCTGACCAAGTTTGATTAAGATTGGGTCAAAAATGTGACCTCTAGAGTGTTCACAAGGTTTTTCTATTTTTAGCTCTTGTGACCTAGTTTTTCATCTGAGATGACCCATGTTCGAACTCATCCGAGCTTTCAACTAGATAAGCATCCTGACCAAGTTTGATGATGATTGAGGCAAAAATGCGACCGCTAGAGTGTTCACAAGCAATTGTGGACGGCCGGACGGACGACGGACATTCATCGATCCTAAAAGCTCACCCTGAGCAAGCTCAGGTGAGCTAAAAACTACATGTAAATTACATAGTATTTTGTCCATATAATCTAATGGAATTTAAAGTCATAATGACACTGCTTAAGTCATATGGCAACTTTCCATCTGTAATGATGATAGAAGATCTCTGGTGCATCTATGTACATTATTCTTAGGCTGAGCAGAACAGTGAATCTTGTGTTTGTTTATATGTTTGTTTTGATGGATTTTAAGTGACATCAACATTGCACAGATCATATGGTGACTTTCCAGTTTTTCTAGGGGAGGAAGACTTCAGGTACAGTTTCTTTTGGAGGACGAATTTCAATTTAGCGGAGGATTACGAGTCACAGTTCAGAACTTTTCACTATTTAGGGAAGATATGTGTAAGCGACTTGATAGTTTAAATCAGTAGAGCTACAGAACGGTATTCCCAGACTGCACATTTTTTCTCACCCTGCAATGAGTATTTCAAGAACAAGTGGGCAGCTGAGTAGAACCACTAACGTTCTATACTATAAACTTGCTGGATAGCTACTTTACAAAAGAGTACAAAGTCTAAGTTGGGATGTAAACCCAAATTAGGAGAAAGCACACAATTTGAAGAAGGCAACCTTTATCATTCAGCCACAGAGACCATTTGCATGCATGATCAGTATCATACAATAAAGAATCATACAAAAAGCCAGGCTAATAAGGTGTGTCAAAGGACATTTATTTACTTATTCATTACTTTTTTGACATATTTTGTCAAAATGTAACTTCCATTCATACTTTGAGCTGTACTCCTTTTTATAGTACTTGTCCAATGGTTTTTTTGATTGCACACTGAACATTTATTCCTGAGTAATGATCAACAGAGATGTGTCAAAACTGTTAAAAATTCTTTAACATGATCTCTTACCTTTGGACCAATGCAAGTTTTCCTACAATCTGTTGAACATCTTTGAAATAAACATGTACTTCTGGGTGGCCCTTTCAATTTCTTAATAGTCCTCATAACAAGGTCACATGCTGTAAATAAAAAAGGTAAAGATTTGTACAGTGAAAGTTGAGAAAAGTCGGACCGAGGGTTTTGTCCGGTTTTTTCAGCAGTCCGTTATTCTCAATGTCCCCTTCAGCTGTTCAGGATCATATAAACCGAGCAATGACTTACAAAGGATGCTGTTTTGTCCCATTATTGCATATAAATACAATAAAATTTTGGATTTAAACAAACAGCTGTTGCCTCATAGCGATAAGGTCCGATTACACCCACATGTTTACATTTGGGTAATGGATAATGATTTAATGAACATACATGTAGTTTACTTTGTTTGTTAATAATAATGCCCCAATTGTAAATATTGCCTATTCCATATTTGTCAAATAAAGATTTTTAAAGTAGGTCTCGGCAAATTTTCACTATCTTTAATTAATTTAAATTTGTCACTTATAGACAGCTCTCGTCAACTGATTTTAACTGATCAATTCCTCGTGCATTTTGACATATATATAAAACGGTTACAATTATACCTTAAAAGAAATTAAACTGTGAAATGAGACATAATTTACAAATCAAACAATCATTGTTCTGTTACCGCTCAGTTAGTGTATTAGACACAACCAAGTGATAAGTACAGAAGGTTATTCACACCTTCGTCGTCCGGTATTGTCAGGGTAATTGTTTATATAATTGACTTTGTAGTCCCCTATCAACCGTCCGATATTCGTTTTTTACAGATTCCTGTATTGTCAATGTTTAATACAATAGTTTAAAGAAGGGAAAATTTGGGACTGAATTATTCGTCCGGTATTTAGAGAGTTCCAATTTTCTGAGCGTCCGGTTTTCTCAAATTTCACTGTATTACACCACTATTTCATTAAAGGCACATTTTGCCTCAGAAATGAATAAACTTTTCCTCTAGAAGGAGTGCACATAGGTTATTTTTTCTTACATTTAAATAATTGGTTTTTAGAGCATGTTAGATGCTTATCACCTGAAGAAAGTAGAACTGAATGTGAAATTATTTGTCATAAAAGAAGCCAAATGTAAACAAAGTAGTACTTGACTTCCATAAAAACCCTTTATCTGTCACATTGCCTAATTGCAACAAAAGCAGAAGATGGTTCAGGTAATTAGCAAATGAGTAGTGTTTTGGAATTTATAACAATGCATCAAAAATAAAAATTTTGAGAAGTGAAAATAAAAACATTTCTTAGGCATAATGGGCCTTTAATGATCTATACCTGTAGGAGGTATAGAACTGGTTAAAGAAGATCTAGGGTTTCCCTTCAGGCATAATTTCAGTTTATAGCAGACAGCAGACAACAACCAACCTAGATAACTAGCTAACATGAGAAAAATTCATTATCCTTTGAAGAATTCTAACCCAAAGCAGTGACTCTGAGTCATAAAGCGTAATCCCTCGGCAATCTATAAAACCGCAAGTCAACTTGTGTAACAGAAATGCACAACTTAAAAATCATTTTGGAAATGTACATAATTAGTTGCATATATTTCAATGATAGGATTATCAAATTGAGCAGTAAACAGTATATAGTCTACACCTACTAAGACAGACCAGTAAGAATACTGTTATACCAGTACTGTATTCCTAGAAATGTTCGCGGATACAATATTTCGCGTTTTTCACAACGTCGGCATTTTCGCGGAGACAAACTTTCACGGATATGTAGTAACCGCCAATTCCGCGAATGTTAAGTCGCTACGGCCTAAATTACAGCTTTTGGAGGCTACGTTTTTGATGCATGACTTTGCCTGTTGGGTGCTTTTAATTACAGTCGAGACTGCCTAAGCGACCCCCTGATTTAAACGACTCCCTGTCTTATCCGACCTTGTTTCAGTACTCCCCAACGTTTTTTCCTATATAAATGGTCTGAATTAAACGACTCCCTGTCATATGTGACAAGCGACCCTAATTGTCAGGTCCCAATGCAATGTTTGGTCTGATTTAAACGACTTTCACACCTTTTAATTGTCCGTTCAATCAGATAAATAATTAATACCTATTATAACACCCAGAGGGCCAAAATAATTAAGTCCAATTATAATCCAGTAGCAAACAAAGTCTACACACCTCTATCTCAATTACACAGTTGACATGTATACATGCAGGTATCAAGTGACGTAGCGTCTGTTTATGGGAAGCATGACGCAATCGATGTGTGTGTAATGTACATTATGGCCCGAGTAAACTGGTTAAGACTTGTGTTAGATTTTTTTTTTAATTATAGAGTGCCCACGGAAGATTTTTTAGGCAGCATATTTTTTTTTATTTACCTTTCTATGACTGCATAATCAATACGGAAAAAATATTGATACTAAACCAGAAAAAGCTTTGGATATGGATATGTTGAAAGATCTTGTAACACAATTTTTCATGGTTTTATTTCATAAATATGATGCTCAAATTAAGATTTGTCAATATTGTAAGTTCAAATAAGCATTATTTATAAAGATATCACCCAATTTAACATTTCATATAAATAAAGGCCATTAAAGGGAGGTAATTAGAACTTTATTTTAACTCTAAGTTAAATTTTCCAATAAGTAATCAATGCATGTAATTTATTGATTAAATATAATGTGCACAAATATTTTCAGTACACATCTTACATATTCTTTGATGTTTGAAAATTGTTTTATTTGCATAATTATATCCATATATATTTTTTTTGCAAGTGTGGTATACACTCTGTAACAATATCAATCACAAAACATAAAGGATCTTTAAGTCACAATTGTATATAGACAGCTAGATGATACTTAAATTTAATTTTCTTTGAGACTGTATTTAGAGACTCCCTGTCATATGTGACCTTTTTCTGAAGGTCCCTTGGAAAGTCACATATGACAGTCTCGACTGTATTTTATTTTTGTGGTAATTCGCGCCTAAAGCGCAACGTTACTCGATACATTTTCATCTATTGACTAGTTGAACAAGGACTGTTGTTCCGTGAACACTTTCATATTTCCTTACCTTTTTTCATTATGTTATTAAGTAAGATTTAGTCAGACCCGTTAGCTTTTATTCTCATTTGAATCCTAACAGACTATATCTTCAAAATGTCGATATGTATTTCTTTACACATTATCGGACTGTACATCGCTTTCATTATATAATAACAACATAACAGCTGTTTATCAATGTAGCACTTTATCGCTTTTGTACTTTTTATAAAGGATTACACCTACTCCAAGCAAATAAAATCCAAGTCATTCAATGTTTGCAAACTGTAAATGCGTTTGTCAACGCTGTGACTAGCAAATAACGTCAATAAGCATGATAATTACTAATAATTGATATTTTCTTTTTCAGCGTGCAAACTAGTATCAATAACATACATATTATGTTCATGTTTAATTATTCTTTACACATTTCTATAGCACCTGCGTTTATATGTTTTTTTGTGTAAGTAGATTATAATAAATATTCTGCACTTTTTATATTATATTTGGCTGAAGCTAGAAATGTTCGCGGATTTGTTATCAGGGCTCTCGTTAGCATTTTGAGACTGGGGCCAGGGTCAATGCATGGGGGGAATTTTGCATGATTTTCAAATATTTTTCATCCAAAGGGGAATTTCCACAGAAGAAAATTAATTCAGAAAAAAAAAACAGAAAACAGTGAATGTAAGATTCAGTTAACAAATAAACATCATTAAGCTGCTTTCATGAAATATTTCTGTTATTTTTTGTGGTACGACTTGAAATTGTGCGACATGTTGGAATGCTAAAACCCGTTCGGAATGTTTTATTTATATATACATACTAATTTCCGATTGCCGTTCGCGAAATACTTACTAATTTCCGAAGCCGTACGTGGAATATCCATTCCACAATCGGCGTTTTCTATGCCCGTTAAAAATTAATTTCAAGGGATTTCAAGGGGGATTTTTTTCGGATTTAGGGGGAAAAAAAACACACTTTTTTGGTGGGAGAATATGGGCAGATTGTCAGTGTCTATTCTAGGAGGGGGATGGGGTGATTCACTCATATTTTTGAAAATTCCCCCCTATTTTTTCAGAGGCAGGGGGGAAAATTTACATAGAGAAAGAAGGAAAAAGATCAACAAATGTAATAAATTCTCACCTTTCGATAAAAATCCCCTGTTTTTCAAATCCTAGAATAGACACTAAATTGTTACCTTCATATTGTTCAGTACTGACCTGTTTACCCCCAGGAAAATGGATATGACATATTCAAAAATAATCATCATAAAAAAAAATACTCATCCTCAGACCTGGGGCCAGTACAAATTATGACCTCCTTGCTAAGCTAAGCTTGAATGCCATTTAACCTGTTATGCCCTTTAATGAACAATATGTATTGCTGACATGGTTTGATCAAACAAATTTCAAGCCCTTAGTGATGTGGATAACCCTCAGTACTTACTTAACGTTTTCATGGGCACTCTGTCTCATAAGTACAAACTAAACACACTTGTGTAGAACTTCCAATGCTAACTTAACAAATTCTTGGGCACTTGAGTAGAATCATTCAGTGCTTACTCAACTCAAGAATGGGCATTTTGGTTGAACCACTAGTGCTCGCTCACACTCATGGGGACAAGTGCTTACTCCACACATGCACGGGCACTCGAGGAGTATCACACTGCTTCCACAACACATATATAAAAACTTTAGTTTCGATTAACCACCAGTGTTACCTGCAGTGTTACCTGGATAACTTTCTGATTATGAATTTTTTTTTTAACTCACAATAATGAACAGCAACTCAAAGCAATCTCAGGCTACTACAAAAATCTAACTGTTATGAGTAAGAAAGTAATTCAGCATCTTAATTAGTGACTGTGACCCTTTACACACAATAATAATCTTACCTGTTTTATTAGATGGATTCTGCTGAAGCAGGTAAAGCATTTCATGATCCTTGATTGTATATAATGCATACAGTTTGCTGTCAACATGGATCTCCTGTTAAAAAATATTTTAAAATGTTGAAATACTTGTATTTGACATGAGAACTGGATACCTTTCATTGTATATAATTATAAAGAGTATGGCATGTTGTATCTGATAAGACTATACAGTGTTCAGACTAGACAAGCTCTAAAACAATAAACTCATGTGCTACAAAGGTTAAAATTTACAGCCTATTACAGTTTTTGTCAAAAAATCTACATGAAAGTTATGACTTACCCGTAAAAGTACGCCATCTGAATAGTCCCAAACAATAATCTTTTGATCCAAAGAACAGGAGACAAGCTGGAAAATCAAAAAAGAAATATGACATTTCTTAGGACTTAGGTCTTGTACAACTATAAAGCTCATAAAGATACCAAAAATTGTGAAAAGGATTCAGAATTACAGAGTATTCTCATCTTTTTTCCCAAATATGAATTTATACCCCAACATATACGGAATATTATGTTGTAGAAGCTTTCTGAGGCTTTGTATTTTTCTACGAGCAGCGGTGGAAAATTGATATCTCGCGAGACCGAAGGTCGAGCGAGATATCAATTTTCCAACGTTGCGAGTAGAAAAATACACAGTCTCAGAAAGCTACTATAAAATAATTTTCCTTTTATTATATACCTTTTCGTTTTATTCAGAAAATGAAATGTAGTTGTCAAGAAAAAAATTCATGACTGGCGGATGAATACGTAATTCTTGCAAACCGGCCACGCCTTAAATAATTTTGGTTCCCGTTTCAAAATGCAACGTTATACAAAGCTAAGATCGGAACCAACGTCAAAAATAGTCCGGCACTTCCATATATGGTACCGTATTTGTCACTAACATAATACGGAAATTTCTATCTGTTGAAGCGTATTTGCGCTTCAATATTTGCGTGTATTTTAGGGAGAAAATTTATAGGTATATAATAAATGACTTTATACCCCACATATGACTTTATACCCCAACATATGACTTTATACCCCACATATGAATTTATACCCCTACATTTGACTTTATACCCCAACAAATGAATATATATCTCTGAGTCTCCACATATGACTTTATACCCTGACATATAACTTTGTTCCCACACATATAAACAGGTTTGTTATGTATTTAATATGTAACAAATATGTAAAAGGGTAATAAGCATGATTTTTAAATGCTCAATTAAACAGAACAACTATCAGTCAATCATTGACTTATCAGTGCATCATGCAACAATCTGATCATATAATACTACACATGTAGTTTCCTTTGGCAACTAAAGAACTGCACTGATAAGTCAAAGGATATGGACTTCACTGAGGTTTTTTGAAGTGAAAGGACTTAAAATATTTTTTTCGAGAAACTGTGTACATTTTGATGTCCATTGTATGTAGGTCTGGACTGTCACTAATAACTTGTGTGCAAAACTTCAGATCATTCCCTCAATCCGTTTTCCAGAAATTACCATTTTTCTAGTGCAAAATGAACAAAACATGAAAGCATTGCATTGCTTTGTTCTTAAACCAGGCTAAAAATCATGCAAAAATCAATTTTTCAATATCATTTTGAGTGTATTCCTTTATATTCTTTCCCAGATTACCGGTATTCGATTATAAGTGCTTCTCTTTATTTATGCAAGAACTTCATATATATATATATTATGTTATTTTGGCACTTTAGCCTCAGTGGAGCTCCTTTAATTTAAATGAAATTTACATTAAAGGTTTTTGTTATAAGTTACCTGGAGTTTGTTAAGAGGATGTATGACAATGCCTGTGACATAGTTCCTGTGTCCACGTAACTCACGTACACATTCCCCACTTGAGATACTGAAAACTTTAATTACTGATCCAGAGCACACAAACAGCCACCTAAAAAAATGCAAATCTAAACAATTTTCTAACTGATCTGCTGAATATAAATGGAAACATTGCTTTCAAATGGTTTTATGACAGAAATCACCTAAATGTTACACAAAATCACTTACTTTACATGTATTTATAAAATTTACTAACCAAACCCACAAAATTCTTGTCCATTACAAGTTAATGTGCAAGAAGAAAATAATTTAATTTGACAGTTGAGAAATTACATTCTTTTCAAAAATCAATAAATTGTAGTTTTAATAAAATTGATTTTCTGACTTTTTTATTTAGTACCAAAGAAATAAAAAAGTATATAAACACTTGAGTATTGAAACCATGTCAGCAAAGATGTTCCAGTAATGAGTATATACATTATGATCAGGGGGCATTTGCATCGTGAAAATTAGCCCTAAAATGCCATTATTTGTGAAATACATAAACGAAACATGTGATCTACAATAAAACAAAACCAAACAAACAACTTACCGCCGGAAACAGATTTTTAAAATGTTTTATTACATCTGGAAACAACTTATTTCTGAGATTTTTAAAATGTTTTATTACATCTGGAAACAACTTATTTCTGAATGTGAAAATGAAAGTTGAAATCAGCATCCATTGGCTATCATGTGACCGATTTGAAATGGATTATTGCCTTGGTTGATTTAAATATGAAGCTGACCTGGGACACAGTATCGTCTAATCAAACGGCGTCTTACAACCAGAGCCGAGTATGTATAATGGCTTCAAAAAAATATTTTAACAGAAGAGCAATCAAAAGAACTGAATGTTTGCTATAATAATTGATTGGTTTTTGAACAATTTCCAGCAGTAAGTTGTTTCTTTGGTTTTGTTTTATTGATTTATTGCTGGTTGGTACAATGACCTGGTTTGAAATTGCATTTTTACATGTAGAAAATCAAAAGGGGACAGGTTACAAGGTCGTGTCCTATCTAGCAAAAATAGATCTCTAATTATTTTTCTATTAATAAACAAGTTCAAAGAATACCAGTCCATTTATATGGAATTTATAAAACTTGGTTGGTTAAATAATTGCAGACATTGTCTACACTTAACAGGAAACAAGATGACAACGATATGATAATAGTCGCGCTTGTTCATTATTTTCATCCAACCTATTTTTTCTTTCTTCAGTCTTTCAAAAAATACATTTGTCCTTATATTCCTGGAAGATATTGTTAGTGTATTGAGATACTTTCCTGCTATATTGATACATTGCAGGGCCTTTTCACTAGTTTTGGGGAAGGCGCCCTAGCCGGGGAAAAATGCGCGGTTTCCATACTTTTAGGGGAAAATCATATTTTCCACTGGCAGTTTAACCATTATTACTATAAATAAAGACTTATTTAAATCACACATTTGGGGGAAATATCATAATAAATTTGCATATTTTCCTCCAAACACACCTATTTTAGGAGCTTTCTGCCCAACATAAGTAATTATTAAAGCGATTTTTTACAGATCAATTTATTGCCACTTTATATTTGCCCAAGAATACATTGACTCATCTTTCCTAATGATAGAAAATTTACTTAAGACATGCGAGGGTTCTTGATTCAATTCAGAGGGAACATTATTATCAGTTCCCACCGTATCACTACTTCTAGCACTGTTGTGCCAGACTCGCTATTTCCCACACTTTGGCATGTTGTGCTACTCGGACACATGAATTTGCAAGTGAATACATGTATTGGATTCTCTTGCACTTACAGGAATGTCAACAATTTGAATTTGTCCAATTTTTCATAAACAATTACAAATGTCACTCAATCGTATTTTCTTCTTGTTTACATTTGCGACATCGTAAATCGGTCGCCAAATTGTCGTAAAAAATCACGTGTGCAGCAGGGTTTTTCGCATGTTGCTTTTAGAAAGTTGCAAACTCACACCGAGGCTGTGAGTAAACATCAATTGTATTGAATCAAGGTATCCCTGTAGTGGGTAATTGAATAATTAGCTTTCATTGGACAAAAACAATGATCAATTTTTAAACAAGAAAGTTTGTTTACAAATTTTTTTCTTCGATATAACATTTCTCTGAAAGGGAAAATCTTCGCAAGAAGGGGAATTTTAGACTGTTTTTCTGGGGGGGAAAAGGTAGTATGTTGGCTTGGGGAAGTAGCCGAATACCGGCTACAGCAAAGAAGGGTAAAAAGGCTCTGCATCGGGAGGTGAAATATGTATTGCATCACGATATATTAAAATTTGTAATTTCATAACGATGCATACGTAACATTGAGGACAGGGCAGATTGCTATGCATCGATGAATCGTTTACATCTCTAGTCATTTATCTGCAATTTGATATATAGCTTTACATGATTTACATAAAAATGACTTTGCAATTTTGTCTTATACTGGACAAGTGGCATTCTGCCGATTTGGCAAGTTCAACCCCTTGTCTATATCTTATACATTGTATAATTTTTGTACAGTATACTGTGTTCCTCTTAGTTCAGGGTACTTAACGCTTTGAAGCAAGAAAGAAAACAACACATAAAACTTGTGGTACAAGATTTGTCATAAGCTGTAACATATAGGTATTTTCTGCTGTATGACACAAGGAAACAACAATTTATTTATATATTTAGTCAAAATCAGTTTAAATGAGCCAGACATAGACCATTTGTCGGCCATTTTGAAAACATTATGTCATCATTGAAATCACGGTAATGGTGTTTATTTCATTTTATTTCATGTTTCAGTTAAAATTTCTATAATTAATACGGGGAAGTCAAAGACCGGGCCCGCGAAGCGGGTCCGGGCTTTGGCTTGCCTGGCTATAGACTACTACACGTGTATATTTAAAAGAAAATCAAATAAAAAACAATTAAAAAACATATAGAATTCCATACCTATCAACGAAATTTTCAGTGTCAGTTCTAGTCGGGCGGCGCCATTTACAATGTAACTCAATGATAATAGGCAGGGTATTCCGATAACGTACCAAATCTCAACTTTTTGGATAAATAATAATCGTCGAGTGTTCCGAGTGAAAACGGAAGCAGTGCATGTAATACCGAATGACACCTTTAAAACGGAAGGAATGAAAGGAATATTTTAACGACTTCCCCGTTCATAGGCTTTGCCTAATTTCATATTAATTTATGTTATTTAGCGTAATTTTAAATATTAAAAGTATCTTAACACTGTAACTCAAAATTTATTTTTTCAACAAACAAGAACATTTAGAAAATGTTGATTGTTTCAGATGTATGCAGACTATTGTTGTTTTTTGCAGAAGTTTGTAAAATGTTGTTCTGTTTTACGTAAAAATCTATAGATTTAAAATATTTTACACAAAAATTTTGTTGTTAAGGTTTTTGAATAAAATATGTCAATTATGACGAATTTTAACACTGGTCACATGAAAATATGTCATAACCGTGAAAAAAGTGATTACGCGGAATTAGTGATGTTAAGTATATATATATTTTTCTAGAATTACTTTTTTACACTTATAATCCCAACACTGTGCTAGGTCTCTGTGCCTCTAACAATCTAACCCTAACCAAACCCTACTGTAGAAGTAATCTGTAATATCTGTGTTTGATAAACATAGATATTGAAGAAATAATAGATGTATTGGGTAAAATTTAAAAATAGGTGCAGTCTAGCCAAAAACCTGAAAACTTAAAATTGGAACATGGCTGTATGCCTTATTTATAAAATCCTGAAAGACAACCACAAACAACAAAATGTATGTGTATATGAACTTACTTTTCGTCTAAAGAAAACACAGGTTTCGTCTTCACTAAGCTTGCTCCAGATTTGAGAGGAAAATACACTTTAACAGGGTTGTGATCCATGTGTCTCATGGGCGCAGCCATTTTGAAATGTTTCCCGACGCATGCGCATCAAGGTCTATTGTACTTCCGGCAACAACTGATTTCTAACTAATTTCGTAAAATTTGGTGCAAGATGCCTTCTGTATCAACAGAAACGAAGCAAAGAATAAGCACAGTTATGTCAGTGGCCAAGACAACATTTAGATATGGATTTATTCCATATGTTCTTTATTTAGGTGCGTAAATCTTAATTGTCATACATTTTCGCGAGACACATGCAAGTTTTAATCATGCCCTTGAATGTATAATAGGTGGTTTGTCAAAACAAATACTAAAGTAAGCTTTTAAAATTATTTATTCATTGAGTTATCCAGATGTCAAAATGAAAAAAGTAAATGTATATCCATTCTAATATAAAAATAAAACCTTGTCCAAAGTTATTTTGAAAAAATTTACTAAATGTTTTCCATTTTATAAAATATCCATAATTTTACATGTATTTCCATCAATACTGGAGTAGTATTAGTATAAGTTTATCTATGCTCTGCACCAGAATTAACCATCTGTCAGAGATACATTTGCATCCATGCCGGTCCACTCTAGTAGTAGCCCAACAAATAGTGCTTAAGGGCTGTTTATTATATACACAATGGTCACCCTGTAAAGACAGACATCTATGTAACATCAGTTTGTAAAATAGGTCAGTCGAAATATTGAGACTACTCTAGTAGTCGCATCAGTTAAGCCTTTAACAGTGTTTAATGCCTTCAATTGTAGCCTATTATTCATTCATTGATGAAAGTAGTTAACAATAATATCCAGGGCATCAAGTTTCTTCACAAGAAAGTAATATGTTAATAAAAGAAATCTAAATTAAAAACATAATATATACATGTAATTTTTTTCTGTAAACATGATACCTGAGAGAAAATAGTTATCTGTCTATTAATCTGTAATTGACTTGCAATAAATGTACATAATATGTTTTGACATTCACATTGTCCTTGTTAACTTCTGTAATTTTGGTAATAATATGTGTTTGTATTCACGTTTTCTGTTGTTGTTTTTTTTAAATAAAAATCCAGTTTTATTTATATTGTCCACTTGATATTAAATTTATATAAGTAATGAATGAAATTTTAAATTAAAAGAAAAAGTTTAAAGGATTTAGATCTACAAAAGTTTGAAGATGGGTTTGAAAAATTTGTATTATAACACGTGGTGAATCATTATTTAACTGTAGTGAATCGTTATTACTCTGTGGTGAATTGTAATATGACTCGTTGGTGAAATGTTACATTACTGTTTATAGACATGGTACATGTATTTAGGCAATGGTAGACTGTACGTTATTTATATTTTGTTCAAAATTGATTAATATACAGTTTAAGATATTTTTAAGATTTGTTTTTTAAACATGCAGTTGAATAATTTAATGTACGATAAACCACAGATTTAAGGCTTTACACATTAGACATTCTTCTTTTTTTATATTGCTACATGTATAATGTATAATTGGTTTATAGATAATTAACATGTTAAGGCTTGCCCAAAGTACATATGTAAAATATACGAAGCTCATACTTTTAATACTCTGACTTACCCAAACTTTGGTAAGGTTTTGGAAAAGCGGAGAAAATTACCAAGGGTTTACCTTGTGGATACCTGCCATGTCAATGCAGTGTTTTTTTTACCCTGAATAGTTCAAATAAGTTCTGATCAAGTTTTCTTCACAAGTTTAATATATGATAGATATTTTTGAAACTAAAAAGGAAACAAAATAAGAATCCAAAAGTCTAAATGTAAAAAGAGTCAAGTTAAAACCAGAAAAACTAAGTTGCTTTAATGATTAGCCTGCTGGAGCTAACTGATTCCATCCATGTAAATTTCAGTCAGTGCAGACCAAGATTAGTCAACACATTGGTGCCACCTGTGCATGGTCTGCACTGTTTGCTATTTAGTCAGTTTATATTTTCCCCAAAGATAATGAATGATTGTGTCCAGATTGAAATGTAGAGGAGTCCATTAACCTTTTCCCTTATATAAGCGTGTTTCGACGGCTTTTTGCCCCCCCTTTTTGAGGCCTCAAACAGTGAAAAAATGCCCTATTTAGGCCCCAAACACTGTTTTTCGTTTGAGAAATGTTGTTAAAAAAAACTACCACTTTTTCGGCGCTGTCCCCCATCCAAATATTACATCAGGGGGTTGCCATAAGGGGGATGTGCCCCTTCGCCAAGAAAATTTTGGACATGTGACAGGCTAAAAATGGCCTCAGGTCGATCTTAGGGTAACTAGTAACCGACGCTGAAAAGCCTTTTACTCTATCTCAATTCATTGAGAAGTTGCAACACTTTGAAATCAGTTTTGATGGGAAAAAAACAATGCAAAATAGTGATTTTTGGCAATTTTGAGACGTCCCGCCGTTGCCATGGTAACATGAACAGCGTTTTTTTTCTCTACTTTGGGAATGGTGCCGGTACCAGACTGATTGGGAAAAAATGCGTTATTTTGACTAAAATTGGGAATTTTTTTAATGCATTTTTTCAGCTACAAATGAGATTAGACATCATGAATAAAGATAGCTAACAGCTTCTACTGTCTAGATAGAACTATTGAGTGGTGATTTATATGAATATGTTGGATTTAAATGATTTTAGAAAAATCACTTTGCCTTATGGGCATTTTGAACAGTCATTTTGGGAATTTAACATTGGAAATTGGGAATTTTAATGTCTATTTTCTATTGGGAATGGTACCGTTTTAGGGTAGTAGTTATATAAAGAAAAAAAACACTGCATGAAATTTACCATTGAGCATGCTGTTACAGAGGCTATGGTGTAGTCAACATTTGTGCCAAGTTTCATAGTATTGAAGCATTTTTCATAGTTTCATAGCAGTTTGAACTTGTTACAGGAGGCTTTTCAATGAAAACGGCCATTTTTCGCAATATGCTCATGGGGTTAAAGGTTAAATTAAGATATATCTTGGTAAACAGTTAACACTTCTATTTCTTTTATGATTACAGGATTCAAGAAAGGGGCTGACGAAGGGATGCCAGAGTTGTCTTTGTTAAGGTACAAGAAATTATATTTATATGCCATCCTTTACCCTGTCCTTGTTTGTGTAATAAAACTATGTGTTTGTGTATATTTGTGTGAGCATAAAATCTTACACTTTGTGTGTAGTCAACATCTCAGGGCTCTTAACTAGTAGTTTTCAAGTAGGTGTCCAGGATCTCCCAAACTGAAAAAAGTAGGAGTCCCATGAGTCCTAACTCTACCAATCTAACTTTACGGTAGCATGATGTACAATAAGAAATACAAAGAAGATGATCCTCAAATAAATTACATGTAGTACTGGTAAACATGATCATAGTTGATAAGAAATAAATATTAAGACCAAGGTCCCTAGCTGAAAGGTCAACCATCAAGGTCACAGCAAGTGTGTTGAACTAAGCTCCTTTTCCCATAGAGTCTTTAAGTGCAGCTACAGTATGTGTCTGGTCAATCACTTCTGTATGAACAATGGGATTTCAAAAAATGTTGGCATATGTGATGTGTTTTTTGTAAAATCAAGGTCACACAACATTTTATTTCGCATGATTTATGCATTTTTAAGTTAGATTAATTTAGGAATTTATCACCAGTGTTTTTTTTCTTTATATAACTACTACCCTTAAACGGTACTGTTCCCAATAGAAAATAGACAATTTCCAAGGTTTAAATTCCCAAAATGGCTGTTCAAAATTCCCACAAGGCGAAGAAATTTCTCTGAAATCATTTAAATCCAACATATTTATATGAATCACCACTTCATAGTTCTACCCTGACAGTGAAAGCTGTTAGCTATCTTTATTCATGATGATTAATCTTATTTGTAGCTAAACAAATGCATTAAAAAATATTCCCAATATAAGTCAAAATAACGCATTTATTCCCAATCAGTCTGGTACTGGCATCATTCCCAAAGAAGAGAAAAAAAACGCTGATCACTGTTGAATATTTAAAGAAACTAGTAGTTCAACCATTGTTATTCATAACAATTTTTACTAAGTTCATGTACATATTATAGTTTGTAACACTAACAGTGCAAGGAGGTATTTACTGTAAAGCCCAAAGTTTGAATATGATTTTTTTTTCTTATTTCAGTTTATTATGGCAATAGAGTACATGTATTTAAACTGTGAACAGAAGTGATCCAGAGTGAATGCTTTCAGAAGAGGATGACAACAACAAAAAAATTAATTTACAAGGTGCCCCACAATTGATGATATGAGACCTAATTTGACATTTCCAACATGCGGCAGTGAACTATTTTTGTACATTTCATTGTGAATTTGGATATAAAATGAACAAAACTCCAAGAATTTCATATCAGCTCCAACCAAGAAGTTATCAAGTTCTCCCAAATGATGCATTTTCCCAGATAAAAATTGATAAACAGTTCAAAATGAAGATATATTAGTATTTTCTTAAGGGAGTTTTTTGTTGTTGTTGAATGGCTGTAGATCTATGTGATGTTTGATAATTGTTTATTGATATGAATGCTGTTTTAAAATTTTGTAGTAAAAAATTAATTAAGAAAAAGATGGTAAAAATGATTTCTATACGAATTTTCTTTGTTTTCATGTTTTTTTTTTACATAATGGTAATCAAAAGAAACTGATATCTATTTTGGTCAGCACAAAAGAAGTCTACCATTTCATGCAAGCTGGTTTTGGCCAGGTGGTTAGTCACTTGAAACAATTATAACCCTTAGACTCATTTTTTTGGGTGATCAACAGTTTTCTCAGATGTTTCAACTAATTGTACTATGTGTTGAGATTATCAGATACACATGTACATTTTGTATTGTGCTATTTTGTATAATAGAAGAAAGATGAAAATGAAGCTTAGTCCAGCTAGCTTACAGAACATCGGTGGTTCTACTATGGTGCCCGCTTGTGCCTTAAATAATGCAGGGAGTGGCACACCAAGGTGTTCCCCTTGAAAATATCTGTAACTCCTTTATAAATTGATAGTGTTAATTTAGAGCATGTAAGATGTTGAATAACTGAAGAGAGTAGCGCTGAACACTCAGTCATGTGTTGTAAAAATAGTTTTTGTTTTGTTTGTTTCATTTCACGCCTTTTTCCAACAGTATTTCAGTCATATAGGCGGGTAGTTTCCTAACTATCGTCCCTGGAGAGTTACTCCAGTACTAAACTTCCTTCCACCGTGCTTAACTACAAAAGCG